GGGGACCCCGGGGGGGCCCTGGGGACATCCCTGGGGACTTGTCCCCCCCCGCAGCCACCGCTCCGGCATGAAGGAGTCAGGGGAGGGGAAGTAGCGGCTGGCCCCGGGGGGGACGTGATGACAGAGGGTCTGGGGACAAGGGGACATGGGTCAGGGGGGGCATGTGGGGACAGCAGGAACAGGGGGTCATGGGGATGGAGTGGGATGGGGGGACATAGGAGGGTGAGTGGGGATCAAAGGGGGACACAGTGGGGACAGGGAGGGGTCAGCAGGGTCATGAGGACACTGCAGGGGGGGAGCAGGGACCCAATGGGGGGAATACAGGGACACAGTGGGGATAGGGACATCCACTAGGGACCCAGGGGATATGGGGACCCATGGTGTCCCCCTCACCTCCCGTGGCACCAGGAACTCGCCCACCTGGATGTCCCGGTCAGGGACAACGCGGGCATTTCCAGGGATGACAGGATAGAGCCTGTGGGGATGGGGACAGGGCACAGCTGGCACTGACTATCCCTGTCACCAGCCCCACCCATCTTCATCCCCCTCCTTGTCCCCATCTCTATCCCTGTCACCATCCCCACCTTCATCCCTGTCCTTGTCCCCAACCATGTCCCCATCCTCATCTTCATCCCCATCTCCATGTCCCTGTATTCCCGTCCCCACGTCCCTGTTCCCACATGCCCATCCCTGTTCCTGTGCCCCTGTCCCCATGTCCCTATCCCTGTCCCTGCCTCCCCATCCCTGCACCCCTATCCCCATGTCCCCACCTGAGGGTCTCCTTCACCACAGCCCTCAGCAGGGGGACACTGCCCAGCGCGCTGGCCGGTTGCCCACTGGCCACGGTGGCCACGAGCTGGCGGTGCAGGGCGTCCTGCACCCAGGGGTGCCGGGCCAGCTCGTACAGGCTCCAGGACAGAGTGCTGGAGATCTGAGGGGACATCAGGGGTGGGAGGGGGACACAAGGGGGTCAGCCGGGACATGGAGGGGTCATGGGAATATAGAGGGGACATGGAGGGGACATGGGGGGTCAGCAGGGATACAAAGGTGACACAGTGGGAACATGGAAGGACATGGGAATGGGGCGGGACATAGTGAGGTTATGGGGACAAGGCAGGACGCAGCATGGTCATGGGGACATGGCAGGGTCAGCAAGGACTTTGAGGAACATGGTGGGGTCATGGGGACAGGTGGGGACATAGGGGTCAGGCCCCCCCCTCACCGTGTCCACCCCGGCCAGCAGCAGCTCGGTGACATTCCCGTAGATCACCTCCATGGGGACCTTCTCCCGGGCCAGCTGGTCGGTGACACATGTATCCCCTGCCACATCCCCCCGAGCAGCCACCTCAGCCACACGCCGGTCAATGTGACCCTTGGCTGGAGGGGACAAAGCTCCGTGAGTCACCGTGACCCGGGAGGGTGGCACTGTCCCCTGGGGTGGGGCAGTGTCCCCCGGGTGTCCCCTCACCAAAGGTGAACACGTAGTCCCAGGCCTGGCAGAAGCTCCTCCAGGGGGGTGGTCGCAGGCGCAGGAGGGGCCGGGGCAGGGCCATGGTGGGCAGGGGCAGCAGGAACACGGGCCTGATG